TCGGCCACCCACGCCTATAAAAGGGAATGACTCCGACCTTTGTCAAGTAAGTGAAAAACCTTTTACTAAAGCCCTAAAGGTGTCTACTCCTATCTTCTTTACACTAATTTCTAACTTGAGTGTCAGAGTGAATTAGGCGAGACACCGCACTGGCGTCATGTTTTTTGGTTGTAAACTCATTTGCTCCTTGGCGAATTCACTTGTCTGGGAGACACGTAGACCTCTTCAAAATTGGCCGTTCACAAGCAATGATAAAAGTGTTTTTTGTCTTGAAACAATTTACTAAGATGCCCTGTAACCACTATCCTCCACGCTTCAAAAGAACATACCAAAAAGGGAAGATCACTATCTTTCAAAAGTAATTATTATCGTAGCCTCGCAATTAACTCAGGGATATTCTCTTTTTTACTCATGGTTGTGAAAGAAAAAAAAAATTATTTTTCTCTCCCTTAATTTAGCATTATCTTCCATTTAGAATATTAGACAAGTGGTATGTTGGTAGGTTAACATCATATTAGAGCCAATGTCAAACCTCCCTTCTTTAAAAATACCCTCTATTTTTTCTCTATATTCAATACTCAATTTGGTTTCTAAAGTTCATCCCTCAAGAGCATCGTGAAATAAAATAATAGGTGGTACGATACACAAAACAGAAATCTATAATTAATTAGAATTAATAAAAAATAATACTTGAAAAAGATATCAAGTATGTTATCTGCAATACAGATGATAGGAGAGACTAACATCTCTTCTATAGATGCTAGGCTTGAACCCTCTCTTATTTGTAACATTAAAACAATAATAATAAATAAAAATAGCATTATTATAAATTGGACAGTTACAAATATGGCAAAAACATTTAGTACCATTAACAAAATAACAACCACATTTAGTTTTTTTTTTTTTAAATATAGCACTTCTCTTTTGAAACGGATGACGTCTCCAAATATATCTCACTAGCCAGCAATTTCCAATTACATGTATATACAAAAATTAGTGAAATAACACCAACTACATTTTCATTTCAAAACATCTCCACCCACATGGTAATGAAAAATTGCAAATTCACGATGAACAACTTAAAATATATATTTTAACTCAAATAAAAGTTATGCACAATAAAATGTCCTTAATTAGTATCATTGTGTTGAAACATGTTTGTTATGCGACGAGAACAAAAATTGTTAAAAAATAAATACTAAAATCAGGACAAGATTTACGAGACAATCATGATTTTAAATATACTAATATCTCCTTTTAGGGTGTAGCAATATGCTTGGATTTATGAAATCATTTTTTCTCCATAACCTTCCACCTAAGCTTGTTTATACCTATTAATTAAGCTTGTAACTATACATTGTGGCTTTTTATTTTAATCTATAAATTATAATTTTTCTTCAAGGCTCTCTCTCGCTTTATTGTGTAAGGGTCTTGTTTCCTCTTTCATTGAAAGTTTTGTAGAATACAAAGAGAAAATTATTTAATTGATTTAGAAAGATTGATCTAATCCATTTAGAAATGCATCTCAAATGAATAATCTTATCGAGATGAAGGAATCTTTCACAATTGCTGATCTAATCGTGTCCAATCATATTGAACCAATTTCTTAAAAATTAACCCAAAATCTTCTCTCTTTTTCATGAAGCTTTCCTTTATGTATTTTATACGACCTTCACTAGTTAAATTTTTTTTCATATTTAATTACTATTTCTGTCTTTGCACCCTCCATTTTTATTCATTTTGATCGCTATATTTTTTAAATATTCATTTTGGTTGCTGTATTTTTAGATTTTGTTCGTTTTGGTCGTCGTCTCTATACTTTCGAAACGTCTATTTTGATCAAGTAATTTTAAAATGTTACGGTTTTTGTTCGTTCTTTTTATTTTGTGTCATTTTTAATCACAATTTCGACATGACACTATACCCAACAAATTTCTTGAAATGTGTACTTATTACTTTAAAGCGGTTAATTATGTATTGAAATTGTGTTAAAATTTTGTAAATAAATAATGATCAAAATGATCACTTTTACAAATTACTAGAACTAAAATTGATGTTTTGAAAATTATCAGTACTAGCTATAATGAACAAAAGTTAAAAGTATAAGGACTAAAATAGATATTTTGAATGTACGTAGACTAAAATGAAGTAAAGTTGAATGTATGGAAACCAAAATAGTGTTTTTTTTTTCCTTTTCTTATAAACATTGCCCTATCAAATGGTTTAATAAGATTTTTGTGTTTCTCAGTACAACAAATACGTGGTGATCAATGATTTTAAACTTACTACGTCAAGATAAGATTAAAACCTACAACTTCAAGATAATGAGTTATATACCTTGACGACCAGTATGTGCTTATTGATATGACAAAAACGTCATAATTTTGTAAAGAATCTAATTAAAAAACTTCCGTTACATATTTACAATCTTCTTTAAAATATTTCAAATTTCTATTCATCGTGCAAGTTTAATCTTAAACATACAAGTTAATTAACTAGATACAACTTAAATTTCCTAACAATTTTCTCTTTTAGTTCTCTTTTATTAAAAATTATGCTTGTTTTCCGGATTACTTCATTTGGAATCTAATTTAAAAAATCTTAACCAAACCTCACAAAACTAAAAAAAGAAAAACGACATAACAATATTTGATCTCTAAGGGATTATTTTTATGTTGGAAATTTGGATAAATGTTTTATATGTACTTAAAAGAAATAAAAAACATTATTAAACAAGCTTAAGTGAAATTAACTTGAAATGAATTGAATTTTAAATATAAAACAAAATTGACTACATATTAATTTATAAGCAAGTATGCATTATTATTTTTTTTTTCTTTATGTTTTTTTGAGTCAAGCATGCTTATTTAGAAAGAGAACTAAAAAGGTAACTACCATTTACCATTGGCTGTTGGATGCCGACAATTATGTTTTTATTTTTTGAATAATTAGTATTTTAAATTATCCTTATATGGGCAGCGAAATCAACGGCATAATAAAAAATAATTTTCAGCCGGTCAAGTGTATGTTGATTGGGTAAAAAAGAATAGAAAAAAAAAACCAAAAGAAAAAAAAAGGAAATTTATGGTTAGTTGCCTTAAAAAACCCATTAAATTAATGTTTTTTTAATGAATTAATGTTTTTGTTCATTGAGCTTACTAAATAGTAAATATTTGTGTCGTTGTTGAAGGATGTCATTTATTCCACGTGCCAAATTGTTTGCAGATGTGACCATTGAATTTTGTCATGTAATATTTTATTTTAGATTGAAATTTTGTCCCTCTACGGCTGCACTTTTAATTTTTCTCCCTTTTGTTCCAACTTCCAATACTTTTAAAATGTCGACTATTTTGGCGAATGATGGTAAAATGATTAATATACAATGAAAACATAGAGACTTAAATGATCATTTTGGGATTAAAGTTAATATTTTCGAAGCGTAAGAACAAAAAATGGACAAAATAAAAAGTATAGGAAAATTAAATTAAAAGAAAGAAAATACAACGATCGGCTAAAATAGTATTTAAAGCCTTCTTTTTGTGATTAGAGACATCTGATGAGTCACATTAGTTAAAAAAAATATGAATTAGTCCAATTTTGAAATATTATATTGACCGAAAGTTGTCCTAAACCTTTTGAAAGACACTTTGATTATCTCCGCTTGAGATTTTTATTATTCCATTTTGACGTATAATTCTACAAATATCTCTTCAAAATGAATGTA